GTAAACTTCAAATCTCATATACCCAAACACAACACCTTCTTAGCCAAATTAAAAATCTTGATAGTCTACAAATTCATGCTTTCATCTTCAAACTATTATTGTTTTTTACAATTACTAGCCTTGTTCTAGCTAATATTATTAATACTATATGAGACTATACCTCTCTAACAATTTTGCCTATTCTTTCACTATTCAATTTCTTCTTCATTTTAATTAACAAATCTATACAAATATCTAGATCTCTTACTGCACTTCAAGATCACAATCTAATCTTGGCCCAAATAATTATAGCAATATTACTCATATTAATTCTACTATATCTTTCTTAAGCTTAGTTCTTTTTTCTAAAAATTTTTCTAATTAACCCACACTTAATTCATTTAATAAATTAGAAATTTGGTACTCTAACTGGATTAAGTTCTCTTTACACTCTTCTTTTATTCTTACTTACTTTCAATCTAGATAAACCTTGACCACTCTGGTAGGTTTAGGCCACAGATAAATATTTAGGTTTAATTAGATATATGTTTAAGTTCTTTTTTTTAGTTTTTGATTTAAAATATAAAATCTTTTTCAATTATGTAAAAAGTTTTTGTTAAATTTAATAAAGATAAGAGTATGGTCTTATCTTTAATATTAAAAAAAAAATTTATATATTTGTAGTATAATAAATCAATAATTTTAAGTTTTAATTTTTATTAAATTTTTGATACTATTAGAGTATAATTATAACTAATTATTAGGTATACAAATAAGTACTAACTAATATATTTATATAATATATTTAGTAGATAGTTATTTGTTATATCTATGATTAGTTATACTTAAGTGATAAATGAAAGTTGTATTAAAAATTGATCTAATTTATTTCTAAATTGTAAAAATTAAAGAATCTAATTGTGAAGTAATATCAAACATTAGTATATATTAATATAAAATATAACAATTAATAAATAAATAATATAAATTAATATTATTATTTAGACTATAACAAATAAAAAGATAAAAATTTAAATATTTAAAATTTTTAAAATAAAAAAAATACTTTCTTATATCATAATTAGGCCTTATAACATCTTGTAGATTAGATCTAATAGAAAAAGTATAACTAAATCAAATTGATTTTTTTTTAATTCTTCTTTTGTTAAATTTTTCTTAAAATAATACTATTGGGTGTATTTGCAATTTGTAATATATACAAATTAACATGTTCACTTTGGTTACATCTAATATAGAAATCCAAAAGAAAATCTATTTCAAAAGTCTTAAAAGAATATTTAAATCCAGAACTTTATAATTCAAAATATGCCAAATTTCTTCTGTTATTAAACTATCAGTAGATTTAGATTCTCCAATTTCTTTTTTTTTATATCTTTAAGCAAACTGTCAAACTGTGAATATAAACTAGAAAATTTATTCTTGTTATGCAAATTGTAATGCTAACCAGACTTTATATTTTGCAGATGCTAATTAATTGCTAACAAAGTATTTTTGAGAGATGTTTGTGAATAAGGTTTGCTATTTTTGATTATTACATCACATAAAAATTGAGAGACTTAAAGTTCAATTATATTCTTGGTTTGATTTTCTAATAGTTTATTATAGTTAACATCTAACTGCCACTTATTCATAATCTTAATCTATTTATTAGTATTTTTAATAGTATATTCTGGAATATGTCTTTTAGCAAGTGCTGAAAGTTGTTTAGTAGAAGGTAAAAAATTAGAATGTTTTTCCATATTTGTATTCTGATTTGAAAAAAAAAAGTGTATTAAAAAAAAATAAATATAGAAAAAAAATGCAAAGAAAGCAAATGTGAAAAGAAAGAGAATGTAAAAAAAAAAAAAATGTGGAAAAAAGAAAATGTAAAAAAAATGAATTGTATTGATATTTATACTTTTAATGGTGCTTAAATTTTTAATATTCAAAATAAACTTATAAATAAAATAATATAAAATTCTCAATAATGGCGCAGTATTTCGAAAACTTTTTTGTCAATAAATAGCGATGACTTTTATTAGTTACTGAGTTATGCCGGATAAAAAGTTATGAGGCACAAGTGCCTCATAACTTCGGTACAATTCGCATTTTTACAAGCACCTCAAAGACTGGGATGGCGCGATAGCACCATGCCAGTCTTTGAGGCGCTTGTAAAAATGCGAATTGTACTTTACCGGTATTTGCGCATGTAATCTGCTTGTTCGAATTTTGCGTACCTTCGGTGCATAAAACAATGTATATTGCATATATTGCAGTATTAGTTACGATGCTTGCGTTTAT